CTGCGGCTCTGCCCGGGAGGGGCGGGGACCGCTCGGCGCGCACCTCCCCCGGCTCCTCCCCGCCCCCGCCCGCGCCGGAGACCCGCGCCGCGGCCCGCGGCCTGTTCCCATGGCAACCGGCGGGGGCGGGACCAGGAGGGGAGTCCGCGCAGAGGTGCGAGCTGCGGGCGGGGACCACCCGCAGCGGAGAGGCGTGCGGAGCTTCCCAGGGGATTGATATGTCCTTTTAAAAGATATATTTATTACAGGTCTTTCTGGTTTTTGCTTTTATTTTTTAATCTAAAATATGATACGTAGGGACGCCTGGGTGGCTCATCAGTTGAGCATCTGCCTTTGGCTCAGGGCATGATCCCTGGATTCCAGGATCAAGTCCCACATCGGGCTTCCTGCATGGAGCCTGCTTCTCGCTCTGCCTATGTCTCTGCCTCTCTGTGTGTCTCTCATGAATAAATAAATAAAATCTTTAAAAATAAAATAAAATATAATACGTAAAAAACCGAATCCATAATCTTTGAGAAAACTTGAAAGTTAGAAGCCCCGTGGGCAAGAATAGGCACGAAACCAAGGCTCCCACTATCCTAAGGCCCAGAGGTAGATGATGCATTTTCTTCTTCACTGTCTTTCCCTCATGCGATTACTGTATCTGCCCATCCCCGGCTGGGCTTTCCCTCGCCCTCCTCACCCCAAGTGCCGAATCCCAGCTAATCATGTTTGATTAGCAACAGGTACTTTCTCCCCAGCCCCTACCCAGGCCTCTCTGGGCATCATTCCCCAGACCCTTCTCTGGCTTCCCCTGGTAGCTGCGCGCTGAGGTTCCAGGAGGTTCCAAGACAGGCTGGTGTTGCCCTGTGCAATGTGAGGAGAACAGCCACTGAGACTTTCTGGGTCCCAAGGAGTTGGAGAGGTATGCTGGCAGGCCCTGCCAGTTGCCGGTTGCCAAAGACCCAATTCAGACTGTCATCAAGGTACTCATGGCCTCCTTTAAGGAAAAGACCCAGGGGAGTCCAGGACAAGGGTGCAAAAGCAATGTCCTCAGGGTGCTCTCTCACTCTCTCTCCATCTCCTGGAGGTGCCAGGGATTTCTTGCAGGGCCAGAGCCTACTACACAGTGGCAGGTGCTCAGATAGTATTTGTTGAATGAGGAATGCAAGGGTTGAATGGCTGCTCCAGCAGGCTCCCATCTCACAGCCAGAGACTGCAGCTCATGAAGCTTCTAGTCTGCTAGAGGTGGAGAACCTGCCATCCTCCAGTGCTGTCGCCGGGAATGTAAAGAGGTGCAGTGGCTTTGGAAACATGGGTTGGCGGGTTCATAAAAACATACACCTGCCATATCAGGAATTCCTCTCCCAGGCATCTGCCTATGAGAAATGAAAGGCTTTCATAGGAAGATAGAGACTCATTGGTGAATGTTTGTAGCAGCGTTATTGGGAATAGCCCCAAACTGGAAACTATGCAAATGTTCATCACCTAGTAAAAGAATAATCAACATGTGGCTTATTTGTGCAATCAGATTATATTGTGCAATGAAAGGAAGTGAGCTACTGATAAATGCAGCATCGTGGATGAACCTCAAAAACCTTACCCCAAGTGGAGAAAAGCCAGGTGCACAAGACCACAGCCTGTATGATCCCACTTACAGGAAATGTCCAGAAGAGACACATTTATTTACAGAGACAGTAAGCAGATGGATGGTTGCCCAGGCTGGAGAGGGAGGCGGGGAGATGAGAAACTGCAGACAGGGGCAACTTTTTAGAGTGATGGAGATGTTCTAAACCCTGATGGTGTTGAGAGTTGCACAGCTCTCTAATTTTCTAAAATTCATCAATGTGTCCACTCACTGTGGATGACTGTCATGATATGCGAATTACACCTTAGTAAGGCCATTGTTTAAAAACAAAAATAAAACTATACTGTGTTATCATTTCTCAGATACCAGATGGGCAAAACAAAACAAAACAAAACCCACAGAGTTTATTCACAATTCTGTGGGTTGGTTGGGAGCTTTTTCCAGATTGAGTTGATTCAGCTGATCTCTACAGGCTTTTGTCATTTGTCTGGCTGGCAGGTTGGCTAGAGGCTGGGTGATCCGGGATGACCTCATGCCCAGTCTGGAGGTGGGCAAGCCGTGGGTCAGGTGACTTAGTTCTCCAGCAGGCCACTTGGTGGTCTCAAGGTTCCAAGTGCAGAAACTGGGTGATGGTAGAAATGGTGATGCCACTTCTGTGCCTTAGTCAGTCCGGCGTCTTTCCAGCTGGTCTCAAGATGAGATGAGATAACGAAGTCTGTCCCGGGCCAGGGAGCCCTGAGAGGCACGTACCAGAAGGTTCAAGCTGCAGCCTCACTCTCTGCTTTGAGCCAGAGTGTTCCAGGAAAACCCTCCAGAGCCCTGGGCCAGAGCCATGACTGGCCGAAGGCCCTGAGTGGACCAAAGGCTGCTTGTGGGACAGGCCTGGAGCACCTACCCCTCTCGCAGCGGGGAGAGCACATCTCTTCCAGGAGTCTCCGCCCTGGGGCTGAGAGGGTCGGTGTCCTCCGTCCACTTCGGGGAACCCACCTGCAGAAAATGGACTCAGGAATCAGGGGTCTGTGTCTGTCCCACCCACAGTCACATGCCCGTGTTGGTGACAGCCTCCACCCCGTGGAGAGTCCCAGGATATGGGTGCGGATACTCGTACTGGTGCCCACACTGACCCTGCCAGGAGCTGGGACCTTTCCACAGAGATGGGGTGCTTAGCTTCTGCCACCCTGGGGCTTAATCACTGGTATTTTCTCCAGGGTGCAAATGGGGAAACTGAGTCTTGAGGAGGTCAAGGAGCTTGTCCAGGGTCTGCCTATGGCTTCCTGCTAGGAGCTCGCACATCTTGCACACCTGCCTGACGGCTGCCTCCCACATTCAGGCTGTACCTGTACCCACCCTTCCCACTCCCAGGGGCCCACCTCCCACTGCCGGGCCTGCCCTCCAAGCTGGGGGGATGTGGCTCATGGAGAGTGCAAGGGGTGGGGGGTGTGCTGGGTGGAGAGAGCGCTGGGTGGGGAGACTATAGGGTTGGGGGAGTATAGGGCAGAGGGGAATGCAGGGTAGGAGGGGAGCCCGAGACGGTGGGGTGAGGGGTGATCAGGGTGGAGGAATGCTCTGAGTGGAGGGTGCACAGGGAGCAGGGGAGCCTGGGGTGGAGAAAGTGCAGGGTGAGGGCCTGTGGATGGGGAATGTAGGGTTGTGTAGGGTGGTGAGGAGTATGGGGTAGTGGGGAGGGGAGGTTGCGGGGGAACCTAGGATGTGAGGAGTGGGATGTGGGGGACAGGGTGGGATGGGGAGGGCGCCTTCCAGGAACCCCAGCAGTTGGGCCACAGATGTTTGTGGTCCTGGAAATGGCAGGTGCTGAGTGCACCTGCGTCTAAGCCGGGATTCTCCCTCTTGGGGGGTGTGACTGCAGCTCGGGGCCCTGGCTGGGGACCCAGAAATCAAACCAGACATCTCCTCCTCTCATGGGCTCCCACCTGACATCTCATGCTGTATTGTGGACCCTGCAAAGGGCGGGGGGTGTCCCGGGATCAGGAGTGGGGGAGAGGCTGTCACCTGCTGAATGTTCCTGGGTGCTTTCACCTGAGTATGGCGGGGACCGCTGTGGCCTGCCCTAAGGTGACCCAGGGGCTGTGCCCAACCCCAGCTCCTATGGATGGTGGGGGGCAGTGGGGTTGCTGAGCAGGGGCCAAGAAGCCCAGGCTGTGTTTGGCAGCCAAGAACCCATCTAGGGCTGCAGGACCCTATGTGAGCTGAGGCTCGAGGCCTCCCTGTTCCCCACCCCCGATTCCTCACGTGCTCTGCTGACCCTTGGGCTTCACTCACAAACACAAGGTCAGGGATAAAATGACTAAGGATTTCAAGATGGTGATCACCAGGCACAAAGCCTCAAGGGGAGGTGGGGGGCACATGCAAGTGCTCTGATCACTTGCCCATGACGCTGGCCCTGCACATGCCCTGTCCATGGCCCGGGGAGGGGTACTCAGTGACCAAGATTCTCTGCCAGGTCTCTTCCTGAGCCTTGTGCTCCCCACCGCTCAGCGGGGCCTTACTGCGTGGACCACATAGCCAGTGGGGAGGGCCGACATGAAGGGGACAGAGCCCCCCACGCCTCTGCTTGGGCCTAGCTGGGGAGTGAGGATGGAGTTGGTGGGCTTCCTGGCCACAGCACTTAACCCTCATCCGTCCCTTTCATTGCCTGTGGGTGACCATGAGCACCCAACAACCACGTGAGATGTGGGGCCCTGGATCCAAAGCCCCACCGCAAAGACACGTCCACTGTGCAATGGGTTATTTTGAATATTTCTCAGACTAGCCAATGACAGCTCCAGGGCCCCGGCAAGGGATTTCCTGGGGGCAAAGGCCAGGACCCCTGAATATCATCCTCTCCTTCAGACTGGGACTTTTTAAGTACTTTCCTTTCTCTTTCTCTTTTTAAAAATATTTTATTTATTTATTTGAGAAAGAGCACGAGCAGGGGGAGAGGGAGAGGGAGAAGCAGGCTCCCCTGTGGAGCCGGGAGCCTGATGTGGGGCTCGACCCCAGGACCCTGAGATCAGGACCTGAGCCTGAGGCAGGTGCTTTACCAACGGAGCTCCCCAGGTGCCCCCCGCATCCCATCTTTCCTGTCATGGTAGATTGTCAACGCAAACACACTCTCCGAGTGTTTGGGAGACACAAGCACCACTCTATGGCCAGTGGATGGCTTCAGAAGTAGCTGGTGGCAACTTAGGAGCACAGGATGTTCCAGACCTCCCTCATGCTCTGGGCTGAGGTGAGGCCCCCGACCTAGCACTAGCCTTGCTGCTGGCCATGCGACTTTGGGCACAACTCTTTCTCTTCAGGGTGTCTCCCCATTTACAAGCAAAGGACTTAATATATGGGTAGCAGGTGAGGTGAGATCAGTCCGTTTGGTGCTGAGAATGCTGGTACTGCCCCTGAGGAAAGCAGCCCAGCAAGATGGAGAAAGTCATGCGGACATTCATGTCCTGATAGGATCATCTCGCCCCTTTATTACTGATTTAGAGACAAGGATCTAAGAGTAAAGGAAATTTCTCTGTAACAGGGTGTGCACTGCAGTAGTGCTTACCACGGCAGAAAATTGTGGGAAGCCAGGTCAGCTTGGGAACAAGAGGAGGACCTGATGATTTAAATGATGGATCTGCCCCCCCCATGGGACCGTGCATGGTCTCCACACAGAAGTCCCCTGAAAACTCTTGACAAGTCCTCGAGCTGATCTGATTCCGAGCCAGAAAGGCAGGATTCAAAACCACGTGCGCAGGGACGGCCACGGGTGGAATGTATTCCTGCAGAGATGGGCCAGAACTGGAGGGGTAAAGGTGGTCATTCCTGCATCGTTGGGACAACGATGGTCTCCCCCTTGTTTTTCCAGACTTCATGTTACATTGTTCTCTGTGCAACTAAAGCAATCAACACACAAGAGAATACAAGTAATGGGCCAAGGGGCCACCCTCGGCAGTGATGCTGCCCTGCGCTGTTCTGATTCATGCCCACGCAGACGGAGGATCTCCACCAGCTGTCTGGGTGGCCCCAAGTTGCCTAGCAACCACCTGCTCCATGGCTGTTGCTAGGAAACCAGGGACAGAGCCAAGGACGCCTGCCTAATGCCATCTCTTCCCATCAAGTGCCCTCCTGTCATGCTCCCATCCGGGCATTTCCCTGCTCCCTGGCTCCTTCTCCAAGCCGCCCTCCTGGCTGGGGCTCACCACAGTACAAGGGACCACGGATTCTCCCTGGGACCCCTTCCTTCCCTGGTTCCAGGATTAGGGCCTGAACCAGAGTGAGTCTGTATTGCTCTCATCATCGGGACAAGTATTGCCTGTCTTCCAGAAGCCCTGAGGTAGTGATTCCTTAAGAATAGCCACTGAGGGGCCCCTAAGTCCCCTAAGTCCCACACGCATGCCTGTGTCTCTGCCTGTCTCATGAGTAAGTAAAATCTTAAAAAAAAAAAAAAAAAGGCATCCTTCCTTGAGAATTCATTCCTTGTGTGAATTCAGCAAACTTCCATCTAATGTCTGGCACCTGCGTTCTGCTAGACCTTGGGGGTACAGGTCTTGGTGGCCACCAGAGGAAGTAGTGGGAATACAGCCATGGGTTTTGCCTCTGGGGATGGGGTGGGATGGTATGAATTCACTGTGCTGGGGGACTGTGAATGGATGCCAGAAGCTTTGTGGGTGTTACTCGGTTTGTAAACACTTGGCATCGAGTGGGCTGGACGGAGGTCGTCCCGGTGGACCAGGGACAGTAAAACTTCTTTTCTTGGCACATTGATAGTTCTCGGTGTCTTTTCGCAGTACTGAGAGTGAAGCTCCCAGGTAGGGAGGGCTGACAGCCTTTGAGCAAAGACAGGGGCTTCCTGCCCTGGTCAGACTATAGCTTGTTCTCAATGGGGAGATGGGCCCCTGGGAGCAAAGGCTACTGGGAAACTCTAGGGCACAGAGGGCACTGGCTATTCACTTTGAGGCTCTGATCCGAGAGTAGAGAGTCGAGAGTCTTGCAGCTGGCTTTTCTCCGTCTTCCACTGACCTAGTAATACCCGAGGACCTTCCTTCTGTGCTCCCTCCCCCATCTTTTTTTCCCAAGATCTAGCCTCCTCCTGCCTCCCCTGCAGCTTTTCCTTGTCTTCCTGTGAGACCCCAGCAGTGCCCTGTGTGGCCCCTGTGAGCTGTCCCCTAATTCAGTTTACAGTCCCAACGCCCCCCACGTACTCCTCAGTCTGAGACACCCCATCTACCCAGCTCGCTGCCCTGTGGTCCCCACGTGGAACGATGTAGTTTCATGACATGCAAATGCCCGCGGTCCCAAATAATAGGGTTGGGGGTGCTCTGACAGTGTGAATTTAGGCCCCAGCCGAGCAGGGGTCAGAGAGCCATGTCGCTGCAGCAAGGAGCTGGGTGAGCTGTGTTAGTGGGCAAGGGGGAGCGTTTATGGGGCCCCAGGAAGGGAAGGCGTAATGTTCCTGTCTTAGCACATGCAGGGCACTGGCTGGAGCCTGTGCATTGGTGATCTTGTCTTAACCTCAGAGTCAGGAATGCCGAAGAAGAGTATCCCCTGGGCTTCGAGGTAGAGGGTGATGTCAAGGGGAGTGGGCCCGAGTGAGTGGGGGGGAGAAGTGACTCCAAGGGAGCAGGATGACCAGCGTGGGGGGTACAATCAGCTCGTGCTTCCTGATCTTGGGCAGAGCTGGCTCCCCTGCGATGAGAAGGATGTTGGTGTAAATCTGTTAACACCAGCAGGTTCTGTTCTAAGATTGCTGGCGCCCTGGGACTGTGGGGGTGGCCTGTTGACTTGGGGACCATCCAGAGGGCAGCCCTGTGTTCCCATGGATGTGCAGTGGCCAGGATGGGAGCTGAGGGATGTGCCCGGGGAGGGTTCCTTTACCAAGTGCCTACTAACAAAGCCTCACTTCATGCTCGCCTGCATGCCAGGCACTGTGCGAGGCTCTGAAGTCAACTGATGAGTTCACATGTGGCTCCCGCCCTCGGAGAGTTTCCTGTCTGGTGCGGGGAGGCCAGCAATGGAGCAGGATGTATGAAGCCATGTGCTGAGTGCTCTGAGGGGGATGAGGGGCACCAGGTGCCACGGGAGTGCAGGGGTGCTCAGTGCAGGCAAAAGGTGAGGGAGTCCATTTGTACTGGAGGAGACGTCTAAGTGGGGTCCAGACCCCGTTTCCCCTGTGGCATCCTTCTCTGCCCCCTCCCAGCTCCAGCAGCCCATCTTGCCTTCAGAAACTACGGACCACAGTTTGGGTTCACGCAAAAACCCAGCCCCACAGGCACAAGTGAAAAATGAATCTCTTTCTGGCCCCGATTCCCCCCGGGGAGCCCACCCGCACCAGCCTCAGGGCCCCCTTGCCCCTCCTTGCATCCGAGCAGCCCCGGGACAGCTCCAGGCTGGGCTGCGGCGCCTGCCACCCTGGGCTCTCAGCTCAGGCTCCTGCAAGGTCCGCAGAAGTCCTGCCAGCTGCAGATGGACATTCCCTGAGATGTAGTGTGGCGCCTCGACAGCCCACCTGGGAAAGCTGAGCCTTGTGTGGTGCCCCCTGGGCGGGGGCATCGCTGGAGCCCCAAGACTTCGGAGCCGGAGGGCGCTCGGACATGTGCTTGTGTCCAGATGGAGATGCCGAGGCCCCTACGAGTGGTCAGCAGAGCCAGGCCTCATGACAGGTGCTGGAGATGCAGCTGCTGGGCTGGCCAGGAGGAGCCTGCTTGCCACTGCTGCCGCCCCACTTCTCCCAGAGTTCCATGATGAGGTGAGGGTGGGCCTCCTTCAGAGCCTGGTACACCTGGTCCTTGCAGGCCCGGTCCCACGACCTGCTGAAACTGAACAGCTTCCGCATCTGGTTGGGGGTTGTGGCCTCGGCCCGCACCCTCTCGTACTGCTCCTCGCTCAACACCTGCCCATGCAGCATGTCCAGCACAGGATCCACCGACGTCACCCGAGCCACCAGTTGCTCCCGATGCCGGTCCACGAAGTGCAGCCAGGCCGGGGCATCTGTGGGGGAAGGGCGAGGCTGGCTGCGGACCCAGAAGGGCCCCCACAGTGGCCCCTGCCTCTGACTGCCCCCCCCCCCCCCCGCTCTCTTCACTCCCTCCTCTGCATCCTTCCTGCCGGCATCAGCAAGCACCAGGCTGGGGCTGGGTGGGGCCCAAGATGGTGGCCTCCGAGGCTGTCTCTCAGCCTCTACATCTGTTCAGGAGGATCCCCCCCTGGGCAAGAGTAAGGGAAAGAGGAGGGTCTATGCCCTGGGGCACACTGCATCCCCCTGAGGCCTGATCCCGGTTGGGGATGAAGGATCAGGTCCCTTCCTCTCTCTCCCCAGCCCCCTCCAGGATGCACGGGGCACCCAGGACTGCCCCGGTGCCTGAGGCCTGCCCATCACTGACCTGCGGGGGCTGGAGGAGCCAGAGAAGCCACAGGCCGGAGATCCCCTGGGGATGGCAGAGACAGAGGAGCATCAGTGACAGTGCGGGCTGTTGCTTGTCAGAACCTCACCTACTTCTGAGATGCTTTCGTCCTCAAGACAAGCTGTGGACGGGGTCTGTCCATGCCCTGGAGCAAGGACTGCAGGGGCCCGTAGACATTGCCTGGAGGAGTCCCTTCCTCGTGCATGTGGGGAAACTGAGGCCGTGATCATAGAGATGGAGGCATTCAGACCCCGGAACGTGTGGTTTATGTAGTCCAGGCTGCGACTAACCACCTCCCCAACGAGAGAACTTCAACTATCAGAGACATCCTTGCCTTGACCTTTTCCTTCCTCCTTTTATTTTTATTTTTTTTAAGATTTTATTTATTTATTTATGAGAGACAGAGAGAGAGAAAGAGAAGCAGAGACACAGGCAGAGGGAGAAGCAGGCTCCATGCAGGGAGCCCAACGTGGGACTTGATCCCGGGATTCCAGGATCACGCCCTGGGCCAAAGGCAGGCGCCAAAACGCTGAGCCACTCAGGGATCCCCACCTTCCTCCTTTTAAAAAATATTTTATTAATTTATCTGAGGCAGAGCGAGCATGGGTATGGGGAGTGGCAAAGGGGGACGGAGGAGTAGATGGGGACACTGAGCAGGGAGCTTGATGTGGGCTCGATTCCAGGACCCCGAGGTCATGACCTGAGCCCGAGGCAGATGCGTCACTGTCACTGACTGACAGAGCCCCCAGGGGGCCCCTAGTTTGTTGTAATTCATGAGAAACTCTGTGGACCGGCCCATGCCTGTCAACACCGAATTCAAGGACAGCATGGAGCCCCTGTGGTGTGTGCAGCTGGCGGTGGGATTAACTCAGGTTCAAATCCTGCTCCTTCACTGGCTGTTGCACAACTAGAAAAGGCCTGGCCCATCTCCTCCCATCATTTATGATGACACAGACCCACGTGCATGCGTCTCTGAATCTCCCTCTCCTCCCTCTGAGTCCCCCCGGACTTGGCTTTACCTGGTTTTACCAGGGCTTCCCACACCACTGTGTCATCCTTTTTGTCTCTCACTTGCAGCCTGATCCCCGACCCCAAGTGGCTGACGTAGAACTCAGAGAAGAGCTGGGGTTCCCTGGGGCTGCGGTAGCAGAGCTCCAGCTCCTGGAGAGAGAGAGAGAGAGAGAGAGAGAGAGAGAGAGAGAGAAAGCTCGTCCTGTGGTCTCTCCCCCAACCTTCCGATGCCTTCCTGGCCCCCGCTCAGCCCCACTGGGACACTCCCGCCATCTTCTGCCCTGAGATTAATTGCCACCTCCAGCCGCTGCCGTTTTCCTAATTTCCCCGCAAGTCCAGACGCCGGGCATCCCTGGATGAGTCAGGACTCACTCCAAGATGTACTGTGTGCACATCCTAAATTCGACCCCCTCTCTCCATCGCCCCCACTTGGACCTCTGACCCTCACCCTGCCAGCAGTAAGTCTGGGGTCCCAACCGTGACCCGCTCTCAGGCCCACTCGAACCAGTCCAGCACACACTGGCCGTGCCCTATGTTTCCCAAGCTCAGTAAATGGCGCTCAGGCCCCACGATTTCCAGACATAGGCATCATCCTCAACCCCATCCTCTCTCCACCACACGCTGGGTCCTATTGGCTCCATCTCTGAAGCGAACCCCAAATCTGTAGACAGCTGTCCTGCTGCAACTGCTGCCTCCCAAGTCGGGCCTCTGTGAGCTCCTACCTGGCCTTCCGCTGTTTCCACTCTTGTCCACCCACTGTCCACTCCTGCCCAGCAGCCAGGACAATCCCTCTGAGAGTAAATCCAATCTTGAATGGCCACGTGTGAGACCCGCTAAGAGCTTGTCACCGCACCAAACTGCACAGGGGCCAACGGGGCCGATGACCGGCCACTCAGGTGACCGAGTCCATCTCTCACCCTGTTTACACCCAACCCAGCGGGAAAATCCATCCTCGGACTCCTGTCTCTTAATTCAATGTACATATCACTCCCCCCCCAGACTGGACGCCTGTTCCCCCCTGTCACTGTCACACGGATGCTTCAAAGACTCGTCCGGCCGCGCGAGGAGGAAAGACTGGTTCAGCAGACACTGTGGCCCAAGTGGCAAAATCTGGGCAGTGGGAAAATCTGGGTACCGCGGATGACCATCCAGGCCCCGACATCACCCGTCTCCTGCCCAAATGGGCCACCTGCCCTCCCCATTCTGGCTCTGTCCTTGCTGCACGTGGGGTGCTGACTTCCGGCTAGAACAACCCCTACCTCTGGAGAGCACTGCCATTTCCTTTGGCCTCCCTCCCCCTGAAATATCGAGTCAAAGTCCAAATCCCAGCACTTGTTCTGTGTAACCCTCCTCTCGAGAGGCCCCATGGTTCCCAGTGGCACATGTCTTCTCGCAGTGACCAGGACCACACCCGGGCTGTCCAGAGGCAGGCAGTTTGGACCTGAGGCTTGGACACCCTTTGGTGCCCCAGGTCACATGCCAGCATCGCCCCCATCCCACATCTGCCCCTTCGCCCAACTCACCTGCTCCACCCTCACCCCGACTTCTGCTGGCTGTCTGCCTGGCCCCAGCACACCCTGCACCACCAAGAGCTCCTGGACATGCCCTGTGGGTGTTCCCGGGTGGGACCTCTGACCCTGCTTACCTTGGGGATTATCTCTAGCTTCTCTGAGCCAGACACAGTGTAGCGGGAGCCCATGTAGAGTGAGGCCAGTGGGGGCGGCTTGTGTATCTGCACAAACTGGAACTTTTTCTCTTCATTATCTATGGCCTGCAGGGCACAGGAAGCCACAGATTACCCATCTGCCTCGGCTCCTGCTCCTGAGGCCCACCCTGTCCCCGGCTGACCTCACGTTTGCCCACAGCCCACCCTGGCCCGGGCCACCTTGCGGATGGAGTAGTCGCTGGGGATGAGGTATAGGTGGAAGGCGACTTCCCCGGGCCTCAGGTGATGGTACAGCAGCACAACAGAGGTGACGGGGAGGAAGCGCAGGGCGGCGTGGATGGTCCTCAGCAGGACTCCTATGGGGGAGAAGCTGGGGTTCTCTAGGACTACGTGGTCTGCCTCCACCCTGGCTGGCGTCTCCACCAGCATCCCCTTGTCTTTTAAGTGGGCTGCGTAGAACAGGGAGGTGTCCACGCCGCTACCTGTCAAGGGGCGGATCCGAGACAGTGATTTAGTGTCCTCGTGGGGTTGGGGTCAGGCTGGGGCTGCGGGTGTCCAGGAAAGAAGCCCAGTGGCCTGTCTGGTGGTGGAGATGGGGGTCCTGCCCGGGGCCTGGGGCCTTTGGAGGCTGGGTGATCCGTAGCCACCCCCAACCTGAGCGGAGCCCGCAGCAGGCCCAGGTCCCTCCTCCCCACTGCCCTTCACCAGCTGGCAGGCTGGTGGGAGAACAAGCAGCAGGGAGGGACAGTGGGGAGCCGGGGTGACCTGCTGTGCTGTGTGCCCTCCTTTCTGGGGGTGCCTCCTCCTCCACCATTGTGGGGGCCTTGGTGGTGGCAAGTGGGGCCTCCCTCTCAGGACGACTCTGGAAGCTGCCCAACCCTGCAGCCCCAACACAGCCCCTCTCCCCAGACTCGTCCACCTGGGCCTTGACCTGGTGACGGCAGATGAAGGCACAGGGACTGTCCAGCTGCGGGAGTGGGGGGGTCCCCAGAGCAGGTGGCCACGGTGGCAGGAGGACCCTGCGGGGCTGCATGTGCAGCAAACACCCCTCTGTGTCCTTCTGGGTGCCATCCTGGGGGCTGGCTCACCAGCATCCTTTGCTCACTGTTTCCTGCTCCTCCTTTTCCTCCTGCTGTTGCTGCTCCTCCTCCATCTCCTTCCCCTCCCTTTTCTTCTTCTCCTTCCTATCCTTCTCCTCCTTTTCTTTTTCTCCTCTTTTTCTTTTCCCCTCTTCCTCCATCTCCTTCTTCTTCTCCTCCTCATTCCTCTCCTCCTCCTCCTCCTTCCTCTTCTCTTCCTCTTCTTCTTCTTCTTTTAGACATATTGCTTAATCTTTTATTGAACCTATCAGCTGCTCGACAACTATACTTTGCGTTCCTTTCCCACAGATGGATGGTGCCCTTGTGCTGAAGGAGAGAAAGGGAGCTGCAGAGAAGATCCTGGGCCGAGGAGCTGCCTGTGCCTAGCCTCACGGGAGACGTTCAGAGCCAGCTGTCGAGGGTAGGGGCGTTTCAGAAGCACGATCAGGGCTCAGGGACTCCACTCTTTATTATTATTCTTTAAAGATTTTATTTACTCATTTGACAGAGAGAGCACACTCAGAAGCAGGGGTAGAAGGAGAGGGAGAAGCAGACGCCCCATTGAGCAGGGAGCCTGACGTGGGGCTCCACCCCAGGACTCTGAGATCATGACCTGAGCCAAAGACAGATGCTCCACCGATGGAGCGATCCAGGCACCTGATTCCAGTTTTCTTTCCATCTTTTTCTTGCTCCTAGTTTATAAAGGATTCTTCTTACATATATGTTGTTTGATCGATGATCCTAATGTTTTAATGTGCATACTTAAAGTCTAAAGTATATTGATACCTTTACCTAAATATATTTAACTATTGCGACAGTGCTGTAAATGAATCTATCAACCAATATATGAATGGAACATGAAAAACATGTCCTCCTTCATGATCTAACTACACCATATGTATCCTGAGAGTGCTTCCCTCGTATAAGCTGCAACACACACTGTTCATCAAATCATCAATCATGATGAAATGAGTCAAGATCTGACATGGGGAATGGTATCAGGTTCTTCTGACTTGCTCATTAAATCAGCAGACACAGGATGCCTGCGTGGCTCAGCAGTTGAGCATCTGCCTTTGGCTCAGGGCGTGACCCCCAGGGTCCTGGGATCGGGTCCTGCGTTGGATGCCCCACAGGAAGCCTGCTTTTCCCTCTGCCTGTGTCTCTGCCTCTCTCTGTGTCTCTCATGAATAAATAAATAAAATCTTAAAAAAATGATTTTTCTGTGTTGTAGTTGTTACGTGGGAAGGTTGGCAACCCCCCCCCCCCCCACTGCCTCTGCCTCTCAGGGCTGCCGTTCAGAAATCAGAGGTCAGCCTAATGGCCCTGCCTTGTTGGCTGTTTGTCCTTCTGGCGGCTGCCACGGCCTTCCTTCTTGTAGGATTCCGTTTCCTGCAATGTCACTATCATGAGTCCAGATTGATTTATTTTTTTTCCCCTCTCTCTCCTGCTTTGGATTCTTGGGGTTTTTTTCATCCTGAGAGGAAAGTCACACCTTTCAGTGACTCTGTAGAAATTTCTTGGCAATTCTCTCTTGGAACACTGCAACTTCTCCGTCCTGTCCTCCCTCTTCTTCTGGATTCTGGTCAGATGAGCGTCCGGCCTTCTCACAGCCTCTTCCATGTCACTGAATCTTGTTTTACTTTCCCACATTTTTAAATGTTTTCCAAGCTTTTGTTTGTTTTTAAACTTGATTCATCCTTTTTTCATGGCATCTCGCTTCCTGCTCATTTAAGGACTCCTTCTTTGAGTGTAGAAAACATGCTTATTTGATGGTTCTGTGTCTAGAGATTTCGACATCTGAAGTCTTCATGGGGCTGATTTGGGTTCCCGGCGGTTTCCATTGCTTTTCATCTGTGGCGTCGCCTGGCCACGTGGGACATGTCTGACTGTGAGCTCGGAGTTACTGGAGCTTTATGGGTTGGAAGTCTTCAGAGGTGAGACAGGGCAGGAAAGGTATGCTACCCTTTATGATGTTTCCTACAGGGAAGCCTTCATCCTGCCCATAGGGACGGTCGTGCCCCCCTGCCTGGCGCTGGTCCTTGGGAACTCCAACGTCCCTGTTGGTTCATTTGACCTCACTTTGTAGGTAGCTCTGTCTTGGTGGTCTCTTAAAAAACCTCCCCTGAGCGTAGGGCCTATTTCTTGCATGGGACCATGAGTGACCCAATCTGGGGGAAGAGCCCTTAATAGATGCCAATTATTACTGTCATCGAGGACAATGCTTTCTACTTGGGGGAACACTTAAGGAACTCAGGCACAAAGAATTATGAGGCTGGGAGACAAAAATGCTTAACAAAAGAGGCGCCCAGAGCACAGTGCTTGCCTCCTGCAACCGTCTCAACCTTTCCGAGGAAGCCACGTGCTCCTCCCACAGGAGGGGGCCATGCAAGCCCCATCCAGGCCCATCATCACCACCCTCCCTGGCCCCGGCCTTCCTCCCTCCTACTCACCTTGCAGGTCCACGAAGTGAGGGAGGCACACAGTAGCCACGGCCCCTGGCTCAGCCTTGATGTCAAACAGAGGCCCCGCCACCATCCAGCTGTGCCATAGGCCGGCCCTGGGCAGGTGCTGGTCCCAGATGCAGAATTCAATGTCAATGGTTGCTGGCCCTCTCACCTCAAAACGGAGGCCTGTGTCGGGCCAGTGGTAGGAGCCGGCCACAGGCAGGTGAACCCTGTGGGGTGGACAGGAAATTACCCTATGCAAACTCACCGAGCACCTGCAGGATGCCAGACCCTGTATAGGGTGGTGGGTTGGGTGGAGTGGCCACAGCCCAGCTGTCAGGGTCAGAAGGACCTGGGTTTGAGCCCTGCCTCCTTGGCCCTTGGCCTGTGGCTCCCCGGGCACGTCCCTGAGCTGCCCCAATCACAGTGTTCTGCTCCGTAAACCCGGATGAGCATCACACCCATGTCAGCAGTGTGAGCGCTGAGGGACCTGTGTGGACTTCCCACACACCAGGGGTGGTGGTGGTGGTGATGGTGGTGGTGGTGGTGGTGGTGGTAGTGATGCGACCACCACAGTGACGGCCATGAACCCGGCAGGTGCTCTTTTTTGTAACAGCCCATTTGCCAGTAACTGGTGACAATCTACCAATAAGATGAATGACACAGCCTTGGGGACAAAAACAGTTCTGCAGGGGTCTCGAGCGACTTTCCCAAAGGTCCCCACATGGGGAGTCCTGGGGTTGCGAGCAGTCAGTGTCCACAGGGGCAGGGTGGGACCGGTGTCTCAGCTGAGGTGAGATGTGTGCTGGTGTTGGGTGAAGGGCCATATCCTGTGGAGGCAATGGTGGGCTTGACCACAGGCGCCCGGGCTGCACGGGGTGTGCAGATGGCGGGACGGGAGTGGGATCTGAGCGACGACAGATTGTACGACTGGGACACATCACCTGTACGGACGTTTCTCGGACCGGCGAGTGCATCTGAACACACACTGGGTGTGAGCTGATCCGAGAGACTGTGATAAACATCACACCTGCTGATGATTACTGTGCTCATCGAACAAAAGGCGTGACCCCGGGGTCCTGGGATTGAGGTCTGCATCATGCTCCCCGCAGGGAGCCTGCTTCTCCCTCTGTCTGTGTCTCTGCCTCTCTCTGTGTGTTTCATGAATGAATAAATAAAATCTTTTAAAAAAATAAAGAAAATGCTCTAACAACAGAAGATGGGAAAACAGAATAGATCTAGCAAAATGGCTGTGGAAGCTGGGTGAGGAGTACCCGGAACTTGCTTGGACACCGTGTTAGCTCGTGGCTGGAAGTTCTCATGGTAAGACCTTGTCTGTAATACGAGCGCTGGCTCAGCATCTAGGCCGTGGCTGCACCTGCCGGCTTGGACAGGGATGGAGCCCAGAGTGCTGGGTGTGGTGCTGTCCGGGTGTGGGGAGCGGGTGTGGGGAACAGATGTGAGGATGGGGACCTGGGAGGGCCGCTGGGGACAGCAGGGCACCCTCCTTCCTCACCGGTAGAGGCTTCCATCCTCGGCCAGCCACTCGGGAGCCACAGGCCCCAGGGGGCCCCAGAAGCCATCCCCGGTCCTCAGAGGCTCTGTGTTCAGGTCCCACGGGGCAGCAGGAGAGGGTGGGCGACCCAGCTGCATCTGGCCTACCTGAGGGCAGCTTCCCTCTGGAAATGGGGCAGGACAGGAGTCAGCTCCAGGTTCCCTATCTGGGAGTTCCTGGTCCCCTGTGGATACACCATGGCAGGGACCTCCCAAGGCTGGGCTGCCTGGCCTGGGTCACAGCGTTGGACTTCTGTCCTGCCCCTGCCCCTGCCCTCCCCCCTCCCTGCTCCTGACCCTGCCTCTCTCCAGTCCCTGGCCTTGCCCACTCATCCAGAAGTCCTGCTTTCCCCAACATGCTGCAGGTAGGCAGCTTGTGGGCAGAACATGACTCAAAAGGTGGATGGGCAGGGATGGAGGAGTGACTCTCAGGCCTCTGAGGCCTGGTGTGGGCCTTGGGGGGCTGGGCCCTGGTTCCGTGTCTGATCCATGCTGTGCATGTTTGCGGAGAAGCAGCCCAGACCCCAGGCTGGGACAGAGGGAGATAGAAATGTTGTTAAATTCTCAGAGTGGAAGGTTCTCTGGGGGGAGCCCGCCCTGTTCCACCCCAGAGCCAGGGGGATGAAGCTGCCCTGGGACCCTTCCCCTTCATGATACTCCTGGCCTGGACCCTTCACAGTACCTGATCCTTGTCTCTGCTGCTTGAGTGAGGATGTGCCACTCGTCTCTCCCCCACTCAGGCCCTCGGTGGGGACGGTCGCACTTGGCTTCCTAAGACACAGAGGCATTCACTCTCCCTGAGATTACATAGGAAGCTGGGGCTGTCTCTGTGTCACCCTTGCTTAAACTTCCCTTGTCCCGGTTTGAACCTGTGGCCCGAGTCCAGGTTCTGCAGTAGGTCCCTGCCCTGGGAATGACCCACCGGCTCAGCCATCCAAGCCAGAGCTGGGGTGTCATCCTGACTCCCCCAGACCCCCAACAAGAGCCGACTGGTCACTTGTCATTCCCTCCAAAAACCACCCTCTTTGTATCCTTTCCCCCCGGCCTGGCATAGCAGCCACTCGAGTGGCTCAATGTCATCCATTGTTTCTGGGGTAAAGGCTTTGCTGTGCCCACCTCCTGCTCACTCACCCTCTCGAGTAAAATTTACCTGGAGCTTGCTTGTCCTTGCTTGCAGACACACATTCCTGGACACCCCCACCCCCTTCCTGGCCCAGAGATTCTGATTCAGCAGGTCCGGAGGGGACCTGAGAATCTGCATTTCTAACGAGGTTCCAGGTGATGTTGGGGCTGGTCCCAACACCTGGCCTCGGCTGTTCCTCGGAGGAGCTAAGCTCCGAGCCTCTACCTCTGCCTGGAATCTGCCCCTTCTCAGCGCAGCATGCCCCCACCCCACCCCCGCATTTCTCAGGGCTCAGCTGTGCTCCTTTGGACAGGGTCCAGCCAGCTCTGGAACATGCTCACTCTGGCCCTAGGTACAGCTTCCCGGGCTGGCAGGTGACTTGGGGCAAGCTTTTGGTGCACTTGGGCCCGGCTCCTTGCAGCTCCCTGTGGCTCTCTGTGATGTGCCTCACACATGGTGGGTCTGTGGGAGCGTCTGCCTGGCCTCATGCCCTTTTCTGTCCACTGTGGGTGAGTGCGGCAGCCAAGAACTCACTGATGCAGTCAGGCCCCACGGGCCCCACACCTGGGTAGGGGGCAGCACGGTGGGTTCCCTGTGGGGAGGATGGACTCTGACTGGGCCTGCCTGTCCACCTGCCCATCTGCTTGCACATTCGCCCGCCCGGGGCTGGTCTGGTCCCAAGCCTCTTGCTCCTTGTCTTTGCTTCTCCCTTGTGGTGACTGTTCCTCATTCCCAGTCCTACCACTTTACCGGTGCCTCTGCTGTGTTCGTCCCCCTGGTCATCCGCCAGAAGGGTTGAGCCTTCCTGGCATCTTCCTGGGTCTGTCTGCCTCCACCCTGGCTCTTTCCCTGTTTATTGGCTCTGGGGGGGCCTCAAACATGCCTCCTTGGGCCTGGGTCAGCCTGAGGAGGCTCTGGGTCCCCCACTCCCCGGTCCTTCTTACCATTTGCTGCAGATGAACAGCTGAGGCTTCTCCTCCTGCAGGGCCCTCAGCATCTGTGTCATCTCCTCACTTAACCGGGTCTGGTCCAGCCTACAAGCACAGAGGAAGCCTGGTTCTCCTGGGGTGGTGGTGGCGGCGGCGGCGGCGGCGGCGGCGGCGGTGGTGGTGCACATGATCCCGCAATGCTCTCGAGGGCCAAGATGTGACAAGTAGCTGCAGAGCAGGGACACGAGTCCCTCCCCCTGGCAGAGACCAAGCCCGGGAAGCCCTCCCACGTGCAGGAGACCCCTACGTGGGGAGGGGGCCAGGGGTGGAGGCAACAGCCCCCGGGTCATGAAGGGTCAGTGTCAGCTTGGGGACGGCCCCGTGCACAATGTCTAGTGCCCCAGCGTCCAGCCCCCTGTGTCTGGCCTACTCTCCCTATGTCTGAGATCCCAGGCTGCATAGATGCCTCCGAGGGCCAGCTGGAGCTGACTGGGGTCAGGGCATGTGGGTCCTGGAGCCCCTGGCCCCCTGAACCCAGCCAGGGCCACAGGGTGGGGTGTAGACAGAAAGAGCCATGGATGTGTTTTCAGGCCATGGAGCAAAGAGGCAGGAGAGAGCGGCCTTGGGACGGCTGCTCCAGGACAATTGTGCAGGCATCAGGGCGGGAGGGAGGGCGGCCCACTGCCTCTACCCTGCATACCCCCTCTGCTCTGTGCCTGTCCTGCCTGGGCCGGGCCCCCGAGGCTACACCACCCCTGCCTGCCCCCCTCCCCCCATCCTACAGACTCAGAGGACTTTGGCTTTCCCTTCCTGGCCCCCAGCCCCCGGGGGAGCTCATAAATGTGTATTTGTTGGGACGTCTGGTGGCTCAGCGGTTGAGTGTCTGCCTTGGGCTCAGGGAGTGATCCTGGGGTCCTGGGATTGAGTCCCACATTGTGCTCCCCACAGGGAGCCTGCTTCTCCCTCTGCCTGTTATCTTTGCCTCTCTCTCTCTGTATCTCTCATGAATAAATAAATACAATTAAAAAAAAAAGAGAAATGTATATTTGTGTGTCTGCATGACGAGCATCCCCCTCGTTCCCAGCGGAGTGTGAGTCAGGAGGGCAGGGCCCGTGTCTGCTTGTTCTGTCCCCTGCCCTCCCGGCTGGGCCTGCTGGGGGCTCCCCTGGCTGACGGAGAAGTGGCCTGCAGGTCCCCCTGCGCGTGCCCACCACACTCTGGGTCATCATGTCATCCTGTCCGACTGTGTCCCCATATGTCTGAGTTCTGACCTGCGTTGCACTCCGTGCAGCTGGCAGGGTGGACACCAGGGCCCATTACACACGTGGAGACACCTGAGTCTCCGATGAATACTTGCACCCAGGCCCGTGGCTTGAGTGGATGGTGGGGCTGGCGAGGAGCCCAGGTGACCTACATTCTTGGGGCCCTTTGCCTGCCCCTGTCCACCTCCCGGCTCCATCATCATGGCCACCCTGCGGGGCTCCGTCCCCCCCCCCCCTGCCGCCAGGTCCCATGAGCCTTACCACAGCAGCGTGAGCTGGCAGGTGGGGCTCCCAAGGCCTCCGCACAGCAGCCGCACGCCGACGTCACCTAGCTCATTCTGCTGCAGGTCTAGTTCCGTGAGGAGGGGGCTGGTGCTGAGCGCGGAGGCCAGGGCCCCGCAGCAGCGGGACGTGAGGCTGCAGCCAGCCAGCCTGCAGGAAAGGCGCCCCAGGCCCCCGTCAGCAGCCCCAGCAGCCTCCCATCGGGGTGACTGCGGGCTGGTTTCCCTTTCTAGCCCCTGGAGCCCTTTGGAGGTTCTGGGGTGACAGACGAGGGGCCTAAGGGCTCTCCTGCCTTGCAGGAACCTGAGAGATTTTAATTTTCTGCCTGCAGCCGTGGAGCCATGCAGGAGGGAGAGGCAGCCTCTCTTTGTCCCCTGGGGTCCCTCCAGCCCCCTTGTCCACCTGGGTCTCCCCGCTGACCGCACGGTGCTTGAGAGGTGCCCAGAGCCAGCTGACCTGGGAGCTCTGGGGGTGCAGCCTCGAGGGTGCCTCCAAGGCAGGAGGACAGACGTGAACCTCCAACACAAGGAAGTGCAGGGGAGTGAGGCAGCTTCCGTGGGAACGGAGGGTCTGTCCTGGTCTGTACCCGGGCCCTTGGCTTCTGTCAGCCCTGCATCCTGGGGTGGCAACCCCGCCCGCCTCCCTTCCACTCCCCTCCCCCCACAAACTGTCAGTGAGGACAATCACAGCAGCCGGCGGAGCCTGCAGGCCGGCTGTCTCAGCCCCTGGCTCAGATGCTGGGCTCCAGCGTCCAGGAGCAAGTTGAAACTCAGCTCGAGCTCCGCCAGGGCCGGGCTGGCACTCAGCACAGAGGCCAGGTCGCTGCAGCCTTCTGCCGTCAGGCCGCAGCCGGCCAACCTGTGGGAGACACACACCCGCCAATGCCGCACCCGCCTGGGACCGGCCTCTTGCCTCGGCTGATGGCCGGAGGCTCGTCTCCCACCTGCCTTGCGTCTCACCTCGGTGAGGTCTCGCGTGAGCACCATCTCTACTAACCTGCACGGCCCTCCCTGGCCACGTAGCCGGCTTCCTGGCCGCCCCACCCCCCCGCGCCCCCGGCTTCCAGAGAGTAAGCTCCCTGAGCAAGGACCTGTGCCCATTTCTGTTCCTGGCCATTGTCCTGAGTGCCCAGGATGGTGTCTGGCACACAGTAGGCGCTCAGCCCTCGGCCGCCCACTTCTCTGCCCCCGAAGCCATACGGTCCCACCTAGCCTTCTTCTCTCTGCTCATGGACCCTTGTCCCCGTGGCGCCTGGATCAGACATGCTGAAGATCCAGGTTGGACACCTTGGAAGAAGTCATGGTGGCAGCCATCCATGCCCCGGGCTGGGGGCCTCGCGGCATGCTGGGTGATCTAGTGGGGACTGCTCCGGATACCTAGTGCATCCTGGCAATGCCCTTGCAGGGGTGGGGGTGGGTCCTCTCATCTGCTTCAAGTCAGGGTGGTGGTCCTCGGCCGGGCGGAGGGGAAGGGTCTCCCATCACCAGGCAGGGGTGATGTCTGCCTTTATCTTTCTACCGCCTTTGGGGCACGAGTCTGGCAGCTGGTGGGAGGAGAAACCTGGCATCTGGTGGGCTGTGCGGGCACGCTGGCCCGCGGGATGGTGTGCACGCACCTGCTTGTACCTCTGTGTGTGGGAAGGACTCTGACATCACACAGCACATGGGAAACACCATGAGACTGGGGCTTGTGGAAGAGGAAAACAGACTTTATATCCAAGTACCTTTAATGGCACTTTTCCCCCCCTGATGTTGGAGCTGGGGACACTGCATTTTCATTTTGTATTGGGTCCTGCAAACTGATTAGCTGGTCCTGAGCAGGTGGGGCAGGTTTTCTCTGCTTAGGGAAGAGAGTTGATTTTGGGAAGGGCTGAGCTTGAGGAGCCTCTGGGATTCCCCAGAGGAGAGTGTCAGGGTGGGGTATGGAGCTAGGGCTGTACACATGACAGGTGCCTGCAGGGAGGGGGCGTGGGATGTGATGAGGGCTTTGACGAGGAGGGAGGAGGCTCAAGGTGGCGCCCCCTCCCCAGGCTAAAATCCCCATCTCTCTTGATGTCCACAGGATCTGATTTTCCCTCCTAGTTTTTCCCTGGACTTCCTTGCCTGGCCTGGAGTCTGAGGTCCCCTGCATCAGGGACATGTCCCACCACCTGGCAGCTTTGTGTGTGCCCTTGGCCCTTAGTTACATCTTCCTGGGCAATCTCTGCCTTCCCCGTCTGCTCCCAACCCCAAACCATACAGACCGTGGTCCGAGAAAGCCAGGGGTCCAGCTGGCACAGGTCTCCACATGTTACGCCCATTGCATCTCATACCTGAAGGTCGCCTTTGCAGACGGCCACCTCTCACCAGCCACACCCTCCTAGACTGACATTTCCTCGCCTGGCGTGTCCTAATTCCCACTCGTGGGCACACCCATTTCCGCCAGTTGCATCTCTGCTTTGGCGACCCATCTCGGCATCAACAAACCTGTCTCTCCTGTGGCTTCACCTGTCTCCAAAGACCCGCCATTCGAGTTGCACTGTGTGGATCCCTTTCTTCAAATCCCCAGCCCTGCCTCACCCCACCCAGGACTTGTCTTCAGCTCTGGTCACTGGGGGAAACAGAAATGCTTGTCCCTGCTGTGCCATGCTCATAGGTTCTTTCCTGAAGGCCCACAAGGACATGGAGGTGATGAAGGCCTACACCCTCATGAGGCTGTCTAATGAGGACAGCTATCTTTCCACCAGGGCAAGAGGTCAGAGGTAGAGGCCAGGATTCCTAAATCTCTTTCAAAAGTCTTTCCTGCCAGACCTGGGCAGCTCTTGTCGCAGTGGTTTTGGGAGGGGACACAGGAGGTCACAAGGAGGTCATACGAAGCTGGATTTGCCTTCTTAATCTGTTGGCTCCACTTCTGCTCCGTCTCTTACTACTGCCTTTTCTTTGCTCCCCTGGGGATCTAGTTTGGATTCCACGGCCGTCATCATCAACATCCTAAATGCGACCTTCCACTGCATCCTTCTGGCTAACCCCAAGCTCCACCATTTTTCTGCCTCCCTCCCTCTGTCCGACCTTGCCTCCCTCCCTCATACGGTAGAGGAGGCGCTCCCTCCCCTCTAAGGCCAGTGATCCCTCTACTCCTTCCCTGACGCCATCACTTACTATTCTCCTTCTGTACCTTTCATGGTCGAATTTCACATTCAGGTCTTTCCCTTCTTAAATGCAGGCCAGTGGTCACACACATGGATTGTCAGCTGGTCCCACGTTTCCCTCTGCTTTAACTCTTCCCTCCTCTTTATCACCCAAGACTTGATATTGAGTCTCATTTTCTGCCTCTGCCTCTGCTTAGACTGGAATGGCTCACTCTGGATGCTGGCTCCCCTCACATCGCAAAAGCTGCTCCTGCTAAGACCATCCATCATGACTTCCCTATCTCAAATCCAGAATCCAACGGTGGACAGTTTTCACCCCTTGTTTTACTTGGCTTCCCTGCAGCAGCGATCCCTGCTGGCCACACTGTCCTTGGAGCCCTCTGTCCTCCTAGGCACCACCACGGAGCATGCCCTCCTGGTGTTCTTCTCACCTCCCTGGCCGCTTCTTCTCAGTCTTCTCTGTTGGCTTTTCTTTTCCTGAGCATTACACGTTGGGGGGGATCTCCCAATGCTCAATGTGCAAGCTTATCCTTGCATATGAATTTTAGGATCAGCTCGACCCCTTCCACAAGAAAGGCAGGTATGATTTTGATCCGGGTCGAGTTGAATCTGTACAGCGGTTGGGTGAGTGTCGCCACATAAGGATATTCATTTTTTTTCCGATTCATGAACATGGGATTTCCTCCCATTAGTGAAGCTTTCATTTAATTTCTTTTCATCATGTTTTACAGTTTTTGGTATGTAAGCCTTGCCCTTCTTTTGTTAAATTTATTTCTAAATGTTTTTATTCTTTTTGATGCTATTGTAAAGAAGAGTTGTTTTCTTCATTTCTTTTTTTTTTTTTGATTGCTCATTGCTAGTGTGTAGAAGCACAATTGACTTTTATCCTAAAATCTTGGTGAATTTGTTCATTAGTTCTCATAGCTATTTCTGTGGATTCCTTACAATTTTCTATACGTAAGATTATGCTATCTTCAAATAACTAGTTTTATCTCTTCCTTTCTAGTCGGGGAATCTTTTATTTATTTTTCTTTTCCTTTTTCCCTTTTCTTTTCCTTTTTTTTCCTTTCCTTACCTTTCCTTTCTTTTCTTTTCTCATTCTTCCTTTCATTTTTTCTTTTCTTATTCCTTTCCCCTTTCCTTTCCTTCCCTTTCCCTTTCCTTTTCCCTTTCCCTTTCCCTTTCTCTTTGTCCTGGATAGACCCTCTGGTACAATGTGGAATAGAAGTGTCAAAAGTGCGGTCAGCTTCCACCTCAGGTCTCCTCCTGCCCATCCCTGCTTCAGAGCAGACCCCAGGACAGACTCACCGCACAGTCTCCAAGTGGCAGCAAGGGAATTTCAGGGCTTTACAAAGACTCTGAACTGCAGGGTGGCTCAGGTGATTTCCACTCAGGTCCAGCTCCTTCAGGCTTCCAGAGGCCCGGAGAGTGGAAAAGAGAACCTGCCAGCAGGCATCTGTGACTGGGACCCAGCTGAACCTGGGGGAGGGGGAGAGGGACAAACAACCTAATGCCTGGGAATAGAGAAATGGTTAAAGCAGTCATGGCGCCTTCCCCATGGAGTATCGACCATGTGGTCATTCAGAATGAGGTTGTGCCGGGCTTCCTCATCACACAGGAAGACAGCATTGATATAACAACTTGGGCACCTGGTTGACTCAGTAGGTGGAGCGTGTGACTCGATCTGGTGGACATGGGTTTGAGCCCCATGTCAGGGTAGAGATTACTTAAAAAATAAAATTTAAAAAATAAAATATACAGTATAGTTCAGATCTGCCAAAGAATTGAACACAGCCAAAAAACTGGGGGCACCCGGGATCTCTGTTGATGAAGCTTCTGCCTTTGGCTCAGGGCATGATCTCAGGGTCTTGGGATAGAGTCCCGCATTGGGCTCCCTGCCTGCATCTCCCTCTGCCTGTGTCTCTGCCTCTCTCTGTGTGTCTCTCATGAATAAATAAATAAAATCTTTTTTTAAAAAAAGTATCTGCTCCATCATCTCAAACAGGGTGGGATTCAGGCTGAGTGATAGTGCATCATTGGCAAAAAGAAGCAAGCCAGTTTTTCAGGGGGGAAAATAGAGACTCTCAGGCATACACATTCTCAGGGGACGGGGGTACAGGGACGTCTCAGGGCCAACGCCATTGTCAACAGCCACCAAGGGGTTGCCTGAAGCAGCTGAGCGAGTAGATTCTCCATGAGAGAGAGAAACAGAGACAAGCTGGCTGGATGGAGGGGACCTCAGACCAGCATGGGGGGTGGGAAGGAAGGTGCTCAGGAGAGAAGATGGCGGTTGTCAAAGGGACAGGCAAGATGCTGCAGAGGTTCTCAGGTGGTCAGGGAACGGGGCTCAGATTTGGTGAAGCCACTGGCGACTTGGGTTCTTTGGCCCCTGGCACCAGGCTGAGTGGGAGCGGCTGCAGCGCCCCACACGGGGGTGAGGAGGACCTCGCCATGGTCTGGCAGAGTGGTGTGGGGGACTCACAGAACCACACTGGAGGGCCTCCATGCTTGTCCATCCCACCGGCTCTCATTCAGTTGAAGCCTTTTCACGTGGGAGCAGAATTTAAAGCAGAAAGTGCACACCAGGAACTCCACGCCAGTTTGGATACACACGCTCCTCCCGTGGAAATGCGCCATGGCCCGTGTGAGCAAGTCCTCGTCCTGAATCTCGTACAGGCAGTGGAGCAAGTGCAGAGAGCATGGCTGAGGTGCGGAGAGCCGAGGCCAGAGCCCCGCCTCAGCCCAGCGCAGCAGGTCCCGCTTCCTCTCCCAGGGCAGCTTGCGCTGGAAGACCGCCTCCATCTCTCGCTCCCCTTGCTCACTCAGAAGGCCAAAGAGGAAATGTGTGGTTGGGGCCCCAAACAGGTCATGTCCCTCATACACCTCTAGCAGTTTCTCTGCCCCTCTGATGCTGTCGGGGTGAGGGCTTCCACCATCCTCACCCCCCAGCACGCAGGACACGGCTGCAAAGAACTCCTGGAGACAGCGGTGAGCCAGGTGGTAGTTCAGAGGGGAGGGATGCTTTCGGAGGATGCCTGTCTTTAAGAAAGTGGAGATGGTGGCCTCATCGAACCCGTGCTTCCTGAGGTCCCTCCTGCTGAGCAGGTTCATTCCCCGCCAGAAGCCCTCAGCGGCCAGGGAGCAGAAGCCCCTCAGCTGCGCCCCAAGGAGTTGGGCTGGGAGAGCTTGGGAGAGGTAGTATAGCCAGAGGGCCGTGGTGGTCTGGGATGAACCCAGTGAGAGCTCCTCTCCTCGCTGCATCTGCTTCTTCAGGCAGGTGCACAGCAGCCAGGACACCAAGGGCACGAGGCACATGGTTAACAGCGTTGGGTTTAACTCAACCAAGCTGAAGGCTTGGGTGGCTTGGCTTTTGTTCTTGAAATACTTGTAGAAGTACTCCCTCCTGCCGGACTCGGAGAACCCCAGGACCTCCACCCAACTTGGCTGCCCCATAGAGGGAACAAGCCTCCGCAGAGCTGTGGTCCGCACTGTAACCAGCAGGGACACCTCGGGAAGCACAGTTTTGCCTAGCAAGCTGCCCAGCAGTGCGTGCACTGGCCGCTGCTTGCTCCAGGACAAATGTAGCTCCGACTCCTGCTCCCCCAAGACCCATCTTGGCTCATCCAAATCATCGAGGATGAAGAGCAGCCGCCCTGGCTGAGACAGGATCTGTTCAGCGGGAAGTACAGGGGCGGCCTGGGCCTTGGTGATGAGCTCATTGAGGCTCATGGTCTCGGACCGGGCCAGCTCTCTGCAGTTGAAGTAGAAGACATGTTGGAAGCGGTCCTTGTAGAGCCGGCCTTCCTTCCATGCCATCCTTACCCGCCTGGCCAGTGTTGACTTCCCGATGCCTGCAACCCCGTGCAGTATGACTGTTTGGGGCTCTTCCTGGGCACCTAGGCCTGGGCCAAATAGGTCTTCGACCTCAATCAAATGTCCTTGCTTCTCTGCCCCATGGTGCCATCTTCCCTTGATTAGGGACTCGTGGCCTCTAGGGTAAGGTTGATGCAGAAGCAGCAGCTGTATGAATATCTGGTGCAGGTTCTTGTCTTCCCATGACCATGTGGTGTAGGGCTTCTTTCTCTTCTGGTGCTGATACCTTTCTGTGATTCCTGCTAAGGGAGGGAAAGATGGGACATAAAGATATGGAACAGGGATCCCTGGGTGGCGCAGCAGTTTAGCGCCTGCCTTTGGCCCAGGGCGTGATCCTGGAGATCCGGGATCGAATCCTACGTCGGGCTCCCGGTGCATGGAGCCTGCTTCTCCCTCTGCCTGTGTCTCTGCCTCTCTCTCTCTCTCTCACTGTATGCCTATCATAAATAAATAAAACATTAACACAAAAAAAAGATATGGAACAGATCTGCCCCTGAGCTCACTCATTAATCCACTCAGCATCTGCTCTGGGCATCCCCACCAAGCCACTGTGCTGTGCTGGCTGCCGATGCTGGCATGTTCTCACCTATATAGTGGTTGGAGCATGGGCTACAGGAAGGAAACCCCAGCTTGCCCTGACCTGACCAAATCACATTCCCTGGTGACTTTCCTTCACACCGTAGATATTCATCAAAGGCTTACTCTGTGCCAGGTGCTGCTCCAAAGGCTGAGAGTAAAGAAGGAATGAAACACACACAACTCTGTTCTCCTGAAGCCTGTGGGCTAAGCCATTTGCCCCACTGGGCCTCAGTTTCCTTACCCATAAACTGGGGGTCGTGACATGTCTTTGCAGGAGGTCACAGAGGACAGAAGGAGATAACGTTGGCTGCTGACAGTACCTTCAGCTCCTACCACCGAGGCCCAGGCCAAGGATGTCCTTCTGGCTGCACCTGTGGCTGTCTCCCAGCCCTTGGTTGGGGCAGGCTAGGAATGCTGGAGGGGTCAGTGCTCCAGGAGGAGCCCTGGACTAACAGCAGGTGGCGGTACCCTGCCCCCAGGAGAGAGAACTCTGAGGTGTGTTCTACACAGTCCTGCATAGATCCCAGCAACATCAAATCTCAGTTCCTCCCAGGGTCACCTTCCCCAAAAGGCAGGTTGCTTTGGCTTCTTTCCTTCTCTGTTTCACTTCTTCTCTCTCCTACTATTGCTTTTGGGGAGTATCTTTCCCAGTTAACAACCTGTACTCACACCCCCACTCAGGGTCCATCTCTTAGGGAACTGGCCTGAGACAGACGGGAAGGTGTTTTGTGAGCTGTGAGGGGCTGACATGTCCCCCAGGGAGGGGCCTCAGGATCCTCTTTTAGATTCCACCTGGAATAATTGTTAAACCCCCATGTCCTTCTTCCCCTCAGAATATACCAGGCACTTCTCACTTCTCTCCTTTGGCAACTTTTAGAGATGATACAAGTGACTCCTTTGGGTCCTGAGGCTCAGCTCATTTTGGAAACCTGCAGGGCTTCCAGAGTTGAGGGCACCTTTCCTACCTTTGTCAGTGTGCTGAGAAGAATCTGGGGGGACAGTAGGACATGTGGCCAATCCAGGCCTTTAACACCCAAGGCATTTGTACCCAATGCATTTGCATTGGATATTAAAGGCATAGATTGACTTCAGAGGTAAGGGTCACTTCCATTTCTGAAGTCATAACCTATAGACCTGTTTTTATTGTCACTTGTGAGAACATTTCTGGAAATTTGACAATCTTCTAGGAGCATCAGTGTGGCCACTCTGGGTCCTGGCTATGGGTTGCCCCACTCAGGGCCCTGCATTTGCCTGAGTTCCCTAGAAAGTGCTTAGTTTTTTCTTGGTGCCATGTTCTCCAGAACATCCTGTGGATCTGTTAGCATGCCACAGACCTAAACCCTCTTTATTCAGTTATATTCTAAAAACCCTCCCTCTACCACTAGTACCTCTAACAATACACTTGGATGGGGGTTAGCAAACACCAGCCAAATCCAGCTGGACACCTGCTGTAAAACCTATAACCTAAGAATGGTTGCTAACATTTTTAAACAGGTGAAAAAAATAAAAAGAACTTCTCACTGCATGTGAAAATTTAATAAAATTCAGAATTTAGTGTCCATATAGTTTCATGGCATCACAGCCATGCCTACTGGATTAGATATTGTTTATGTCTTCTTTGAGGCTACGATGGAGAGTGAAAGAGTTGCCGTAGGGCCTGTGTGCCCCCAAAAGCCTAAAATATTACTGTTTTCTCTTGTACACAAAGAACCTTGCCTACTTTTACTCTTTGTATGTCAAAAGGAACACCGTGTGGGTTTTGCACTTGCTATGGAACTGTTGTTGGGATATTATTTTATTCATGTTTTCCAGCTAAGGCAGTCATTTATAATTTAGAATTGGGGGGAACTGACATTAGCAGGATGGGGAGTAGGAGTATTTGTACCCCACCACACACAAAACAATTAGATAGCTACCGATTCATGAATGCAAATAGCTTCAGGTGGGCCCAATAACTCAGTTAAGAACCTACAGCAACACAGTGCAGAAAAAGGATAACCACAAAATAAAAGGATTACTGGGGCGATCAGCCTCGCATAGACATCTGGGGAAGGGTAGGGACAATGAAGAAGGGTGAGGATGACAAATATCAGCCATACAACAGGTGCCATTGTGGTGCCTAGGGGTCTGCTCTAGGGAGGAACCAGCAGTCTTTGCAGCTGAAGACCTCAGTGATCCTACTGTGGACTCTCTGCAAGAGGACCCCATAGTGTTTGTAGGTGTGGACTTCAGTGGCCTGATATATAGTGGATGCCAGAGGCTTCTGCCATGGAGGTAACCTAACAGCCATTGCCACAATGGACTCCTCTGGGCAGGGATGAGGGGTAGGAGAGAGATAATGCTGAGCCCCCCTTCCCGAAAGTGCTGATGGTACGTTGTTCTGGAACCAAGGGGGCTAGCCTCCCCAAGTCTATACAAGGCTGGGACCCCAGAGCTGTGAATGCTCTGTGTGCATTCATGCTTTGAACTCCAGCTCTGTGGTTACTTTGTACATGACTGTGCATCAGAACGCCACCATGAGGGTGCCTCCAAGCTGCAACCAGTGCCAAATGGGATCCTCTTGGCCATGATATCCACAGGGGCAAAATAAGACGTCAGGAGGTCCCCAGCAGCCTTGGCTGCCAAGGACCACTTCCATCTTCACTGACACTGACCTCAGATGATGAAAGTATATGGAAATCACTAGAGCCTTTCTGGAACCAGAACTGTGACCTCTACCCAGTCTGTGCCTTCACTTCCACCCACAGATGAGGCCTTTCCCCACCAAAATCAGTCCATAAAGTCTGGATGAGGTGAAAGCTTCATCAAATGCACAGATATCAACACCAAGCTGCAAGAAACATGAGATGATAAGGAAATATGACATCCCAGAGGAACACAATACTTTTCCAGCAATCACCACCCTCCACCAATGGAGATCTGTGAATTGCCAGACAAAGAATTCAAAATAATTATTTCAAGGAAGCTCAGAAAGCTATGTGAAAGCACAGGGAGACAATTCAGTGAAACTAGGAAAATGACATGTGAACAAAAGAAGTTCAACAGAGAGACAGAAATCATAAAAAAGAAACAAGTAGAAATTCTGGAGCTGAAGAATACAATGAATGAAATGAAAAAATAAACATGCAATGGAGAGCATCAATAATACATGTGATCAAGCCTAAGGAGGCAGGGAAGACCCTGTAAACTTGGAGGCAGGTCATCCCATCAGAGGAGGATGAAGAATAAAGCATAAAAAAGAGTGAAGAAAGCCTATGTGAATTATGGGACACTACCAAGTAAAGTAACATTTGCATAATGGGAGTCCCAGAAGGAGAAGAGAAAGGGAAAGGGACAGAAAGCTTATCAAAGAAATAGTGACTAAAAATTTCCCATGGCTGGGGAAAGATATGAACATCCAGGTACATGAGGCTCATAGGTCCCCATACAGACCAAAGAGGATTTCACTTATACATATAATAAAACTGCAAAACAAACAAACAAACAAACACACACACACAAAAAAACAAACCAAAAAAAAACGCCACCTCAAAACAAAAAACAAAGTAACAACAAAAAGCCCAGAGATAGAATTTTGAAAGCAGCAAGAAAACAGACTCATCTATATCAGGAACTCCCGTAATGCTTTCAGCAGATGTCTCAGCAGAATCTTTGCAGGCCAGGACAGAGTGGGCTGATGTATCATTCAAAGCCCTGAGAGAAGACTGCCAACCAAAAGTACTTGACCTGGCAAAGCAGTTCTTCAGAAACGAAAGTGAGATATTTTCCTAGACAAACAAAAACTCATAACCACTAGTGAACATGAAGATACGTGAAACTATAACTCACTGGTGAAGGCAAGTGTAGAGTGAGATTCAGAATGCTCTTAATACTGTAATGGTGATGTGTAAATCACTGAAATCCAGTATAAAGGCTAAAATACAAAAGTATTAAAAATAACTAGTTAAAATAATTTGTTAATGGGTACACAATATAAAAAGATGCAAATTATGACATCAAGAATATAAAATGTGTGTGTGCATGTATGGAAGTTAAATGGTAGAATTTTGTATGTGATCATAATTATGTTGCTATCATCTTAAAATAGATTGCTAAATCTATAGGATGCTTTATGTAAGCCTCATGGTAGCCACAAAGCAAAAACCTATTGTAGATACACAAAGGATGAAGAGAAAGGAATCAAAGCATACCTCTATGGAAAATCATCAGATCACAAAGGAAGACAGCAAGAGAATAAGAATAGAATAAAAGAAAGGCAAAAATAGCCAGAAAACAAACAAGATGGTAACAGTGAATCCTTACCTATCCATAATTACTTTAAATGTATATGGATTAAATTCTCCAATCAAGAGACATAGAATGTCTGAATAAAGTACAAAAAAACAAAACAAAACAAAACAAACAAACCTGACAAAAACCAAAACAAGACCCAACTACATACTGTCTAAAAGAGACTCATTTCAGCTTTCAGGACACACTTAGGCTACAGTGAAGGGATGGAAAAAGATATTCCAAGCAAATGGAAACTAAAATAGAGCAGGAGTAGCTATACTTATATTAGACAGAATAGACTTTACGTCAAAAAGTGCAATAAGAGGGTAGCCTGGGTGACTCAGAGGTTTAGTGCCACCTTCAGCCCAGGGCGTGATCCTGGAGACCCAGGATTGAGTCCCACGTCAGGCTTCCTGCATGGAACTGGCTTCTCCCTCTGCCTGCTTCTCTCTCTCTACTTGTGTCTCTTCCTCTCTTTTTCTCGAATAAATAAATCTTTTTTAAAAAAGTGCAATAAGAGGAAAAGAATATCATTATATAATAATTCATCAGGTTGTTATAACACCTAAATTTATCAAAGCAAATATTAAAAGATCTGTAGGTAGGAATAGATAGCAGCACAATAATAGCAGGGGAATTCTAATACCCCACTTTCAACAAGAAGATGTGATCCAGACAGAACATCATTAAGGAAATACTGGACTTGAACCATACATTAGACCAAATAGAACATGTGTATTAGACCTAAAGGACCCTCCAGCCAATAGCAGCAGAATGCATGTTTTTCTCAAATGCACATAGGTCATTCTCCAGGACAGATCATAAAACAAGTCTCAATAAGTTTGAGAAACTGAAATTATATCAAGTATTTTTTCCAACCAGAGTGATATGAAATTAGGAATCACTAAAAGGAGGAAACTGGGAAAACATACAAATAAGCAGAAACTAAACAACCTTCTCAAATGATCAATGGGTTAAAAAAACAAATTAAAAGGGAAATAAAAAAGTATCTTGAGACAAATGAAAGTCCAAATACAGCATACCAAAACATATCCCCAGGGGCAGAATTAGAGGTCAAGAGGTCTGCAGCAAACGGAAGTCTATGAGCAAAGTTTATAGTGATGTATGCCTACGTTAAGAATGAAAGACTTCGAATAAACAGTCTAACTTTACACTGCAAGGAACTAGAGAAAGTAAACTAGGCCCAAAATTAGCCGAAGGAGGGAAATAACAAAGATCAGAGCAGAAATAAATGAGAGAGGCTAGAGAAAAAAAAGACAAACCAAACTAAGAAGTAATTTTTAAAAAAGATTTTATTTATTTATTCATGAGAGACACAGAGAAAGAGAGAGAGAGGCAGAGACACAGGCAGAGGGAGAAGCAGGCCCCATGCAGGGATTCTGACATGGGACTCAATCCTGTTCTCAGGATCAGGCCCTGGGCTGAAGGTGGCGCTAAACTGCTGAGCCACCTGAGCTGCCCTTAAGAAGTAATCTTTTTTAAAAAAAGATAAACAATATAGACAAACCTTTAGCTAGACTAAGAAAATAAAAAGAAGGAGAAAAGACTCAAACACAACCAGAAAGGGGAGTCATTACAGTTGAAAGCGAGGAGACAAAGGGTCACGAGGTTGCTGTGAGTCATCATATGCCAACAAAGTGGAAAACTAGAAAAAAAATGGATAAATCCCTAGAAACATACAACCTCCAAGACTGAATCACGAAGAATTATGAAAATGGAACAGACCTGTAACCAGTAAGGGGATTGAATCAGTAAATAAGCATCCTCCGACAAAGAGCACCCAGGACCGGATGTCTCCCCTGATGAATTCTACAAAATATTTAAAGAATTAAAGCCAATCCTTATTTGTGTTAAAGACACAAATAAGTGGAAGGATATTCTGCATTCCTGGATTGGAGGAATTAATATTGTTAAAAAGTCCATATGACCCAAAGCAATCTACAGATTCAGTGGTATCCCCATCAAAATTCCAATGGCATTTTTCATACACATGAAAAAAATGCAGTCCTAAAATTCTTACAAAATCACAGAAATCTCACAGCCAAAGCAATCTTGAGAAAAAAGAACAAAGCTGGGAGCCATCACACTTCCTGATTTCAAAGACTATTACAAAGCTGCAGTCATTAAAAAGGTATGGTACTGGCATAAAGCCACCCCAGGTGGCTCAGGGGTTTGGCACTGCCTTCAGCCCAGAGCTTGACCCTGGAGACCCGGGATCGAGTCCCGTGTTGGGCTCCCTGCATGGAGCCTGCTTCTCTCTCTGATTGTATGTGTGCCTCTCTCTCTCTCTCTCTCTCTCTCTCTCTCTCTCTGTGTGTGTCTCTCATGAATAAATAAATAAATAATCTTAAAAAAAGAGACACATAGATCAATGCAACAGAACTGAAGGCCCAGAAATAAACCCACACGTATATGGTTAATGATATTTGACAAGGGAGCCGAGATATTCAATGAGGAGAAGATCATCTCTTCAATACATGATGTTGGAAAACTGCATATCTATGTGCAAAAGAGTGAAACTGAACTCCTACCTTACAGCAGCACTCACAGAAATTAGCACAAAATGGATTCAGAACCTAAATGTAAGTTCTGAAGCCATAAAACTCCTAGAAGAAAATATAGAGGAAAAGGTCCTTGATAATAATTTTTTTGGGATATAACACCAAAAGTACAAGAAACAGAAGCAAAAATACAAAAGTGGGAGCACATCGAATCCGAATGCTTTTGGACTGCAAAGGAAATGATCAATAAAATGAAAAGGCAACCTATAGAATGGAGGAAAATATTTGTAAACCACATATCAGGTAAGGGATTGATATAAGACATATATGAAGAACGCATACAACCCAACAACAAAATTGCAAACCTAACCACAAAACAACCCAAATAATCTGATTAAAAATGAGCAAAGGAGACGCATAGACATATTTTCCCAAAGGGGATGTGCAAATGGCCAAAGGGTACACGAAGAGGTTTTCAACATCACTCATTGCCAGGGAAATGTGTATGAAATAGCACCTCACTCCTGTCTGGGAGGCTGTCGTCAAAAGCACAAGTGATTTAAAAAAACAAAAACCAAACACAAGAGATAACAAATGTCAGCAAAGAGGTGGAGAAAAGGGAACCGTCGCGTGCTGTTGGTGGGAAGGAGGACCACAGTCTAGAATTTCCTCAAAAAAAAAAAAAAATAGAACTACCATAGGACCCAGGAATTCCTCCTCTGGGTATTTACAAAGAAACAAAGAATCGATTGTCCTGAAGATGCCTTGCACCCGCACACTCACTGCAGCATTCGTCACAATAGGCAAGACATGGGAACAGCCTTGGTGTGTCCTCCGGCGGCTACATGGACAGAGGAAATGGGGCACATATATGTACAGGGAACTCAGTCATGGAAAAGAAGGAAATTCTGCCATTTGTGATAACATGGATGAGCTTGGGGCGTGGGTGGGTATGATGCTTAAGTAACATAGGGCAGACAGAGAAAGAGAAATATATAGGATCATTTCAGTGTGGGATGTTAAAAAAAAAGAAAAAGAAAGAAACCCAGAAGTCCAACATATAGAAGCAGAGGAGAGTGGAATGTGGGAGGCCAGGGGCTAGGGGCATGGGGAACGGGGACAAGCCTTCAGTTAGGAGGTGACTAAGTCCTGAGGGCCTAGTGTACAGCTTGGTGACCATACAGTTACTCCCAGTGTGCTGCACGTTGGAGGTTTGTGGAGAGAGCAGGCCTTATGGGTTCTCACCGTGGGCCGCACATGCATATGTACGCACATGGGTATGTGAACTGATGGATGTGCTAGTGACCTGGACTGTGCTGATCATTTCACAACGTGTAAGTCTGTCGAATCATCACTGGGGACACTTTGAATCCCAGTCTATTAGCCAATCACACCCTAAGGAAGCTGGAAAACATCGGGACTTTAGAATCAGGGGGAAACTTCTGTTTCTCTTGATTTTTTTTTTTCTTTTTTGAGCAACAAGTATCATGTGACCCTATTACATTTCCCTTTCTGCCCTGGTGGCTCGGGAGCCTGAAATCAATGAATAGTAAATGGTTTGCAGATAATTAGTCTTTGTGGCTTTCATACTTGCTTCATTTTAAGGTTATTACACATGTATGTTTCTGTAAAATGTTCTATGTAAAAAGCCCGTCCTTCCTTCCTTTCTTCTTTCCTCGCTTTCTCCCTCCCTCCTCCTTCCCTTCCTTCCTCCCTCCCTTCCTTCCTTTTCTGGACAGATGTGGTGTAACAACTTAATTCAGTCCATCACTTTGAGCTTTGGCCGGACACATTTCAGGACCAAGCCCCACAAGTTTACTTCTACCCAGATTTGGAAAGTACCCTTTCAACCTACCATGCCTCAGGTGTCAAGAGTGTACATCCCTTGACATTGGGGTCAGCTCTAATGGGACAGGTTGGCGGTGGCTAAGATCCTGGGTGGCGTCAGTGAGCCTGTGAGCCCAGGACTGTCCTCCTCACCCAGACAGCAGAGGGCATGTGATGTGGAGGTTAAAGGTGAGGACTGCGGCATCAGAGAGTTCCCTGCCTCCAGAAACTGCCGTCTTACCTGTTTGAGATCTGTTTCTTTCACCTGTGCAATGGGGGGGTGGAGACATTTCTCCCCAGCAGTGAGGTCTGTGACATCTGAGCGAGCGTGCAAGGGGAGCACTGGGCACAGAGCCTGATTTGTATCCTGTATGAGGTAACACACCTGCACTGTAATTTCCAGGGGCCACTGAGAAGCAGCAGCTCAGCCCGATGGAGGGAAGCCAGGAGCACATTTTGGATGGACTCACGACCCCCGTCCTCAGCACACCCACCCGGCCCACACCTCGGCACCGTTCACCCATCTCCAGGAGCTCCACAAGGCCTCACCTGGGTTGTGGTTTCCAGATGTTCCAGCCACGGGCCACCCAGCCTTGGGCGCCTCCTGCTTCCTGGGCACTGGGCTGGGCTGAGGTGGGGCCTCCCAGCCCCCTAGCACTGCCGTGGGCATGGGGGCACTGGGTGACTCCTGGTGTGGTGAACCTTGAAACTCTGGGGAGTCTGGAAGGCCTTGGTACTTGCACAAGGAAGGGTCTCCTGGGGGAAGGACGGGAAGGACAGTGCTGTATGCCAAGCATCCATCTGCTCTGAACTCTCACTGCGAACCTTTGGGATGGGTGTTGGGAATCCCGGATTTATTTATTCTTTTAGTTTTTTTTTTATGATAGTCACACAGAGAGAGAGAGGCAGAGACACAGGCAGAGGGAAAAGTAGGCTCCATGCAGGGAGCCCAACGTGGGACTCGATTCCAGGTTTCCAGGATCATGCCCTGGGCTGAAGGCGGCGCTAAACCGCTGAGCCACCGGGGCTGCCCAGGAATCCTGGATTTAAAATACTGTAAGGTGCTGTTTTTTCTTTTCTTTTTTAAAGATTTTATGTATTTATTCCAGAGAGACTGAGAGACAGAGGGGCAGAGACACAGGCAGAGGGAGAAGCAGGCTCCATGCGGGGAGCCTGATATGGGACTCGATCCCAGGATCCCAGGGTCACAACCTGAGCTGAAGGCAGATGCTCAACCGCTGAGCGACCCAGGTGCCCCAGGTGTTGTTTCTTTAGAGGACGGTGACAACGTTCTAACATTGATGCTGCCAAGGGTCGCACAACTCTGTGTATATGATACACCACTGGGTTGTACCCTTTAAATGAGTGAATTCTATCTTGACAATACTATTGCCAAAAAGAGTCCTAAAGATATAGACAATTTTATTGTCTTACTCACTGCTCTGAAACGTCCTTCGGGTGAGAACATCTATTATTAGGCAGAGAGATTCTTTTTTTTTTTTTAAAGATTTTATTTATTTATTCATGAGAGACACAGAGCGAGAGAGAGGCAGAGACACAGGCAGAGGGAGAAGCAGGCTCCATGCAGGGAGCCCGATGCGGGACTCAATCCCAGGACCCCAGGATCACATCCTGGGCTGAAGGTGGCGCTAAACCACTGAGCCACCCAGCCTGCCCTGGGCAGAGAGATTCTGATAAGCCTCCCGGTGGGGTCAGCGCCTCCTTCCCAGGATGGATAGGTGCTTACCAGGTGGCATCTAAGCCTGGCACCAGCTAGTTGGGGCTGCCGAGCAGAACTGCCCTGTATTGCGGTCATCACAGGGTTGAGCCAGGGGGACATGGCACTGTGGGATGGGGGTGCTGGCGGGGACACCATGGGGCCTTTGTGCGGTGAGATGGGACCAGTTGGACCCTCTTTGCAACAGCACGTCAGCAGGGCTGCACTGCATGCTCAAGGGCTTGGGCGGGGAAGGTGAGACATAGGCTGGGGAGGGGGAAGAAGCAACTTGCTTCATCACACACCAAGCAGATGAGGTCAGGGGGAATGAGGGAAGTGGAGCTGGAGCTTGGGGGTGTAGAGGCAAAGGGGGGAGAGCAGAAGAGCTACGAGATTAGCAGTAGGGACTTCCCCAGGGTGGTGGCAGGAATGGCTGGTTCTAGGTTCCAGCCTCATCTGCATGGGTGAGTGTGCACCAGCCCGAGGCAGCCACTTGGGACTGGGAAGAGAAGAGGAAGAGGCAGGGTGTGGTTAAGATCTAGGCCTGGGTGGGAGTGCCTGGGGTGGTGGTACCAGGGGTTGAGTGTCAGGCTCTTTATTTCAGCTCAGCGTTGTTAGATCGAGGCCCTGGACGGCCTCTGTGCTCAGGCTGGGGGACGGGGGTGGGTAGAGGGTATCTGCTTGGGATTCTCTTCTTCTGCTCCTCCCTGCCACCCCACCCCCTCTCTCAAAATAAATCTTAAAAAAAAAAAAAAGAGTGCTTTGGCCTGGGTGACTCAGGATGGTGGAAGCTGAAATAAGAGAAGTTGGGAGAGGGAACTACGTGGGGCTGAGGAATGCACCTGCCCTCCCCTCGGGGTGCATCTGGGGAGCAGAGTCTACCTTGGAACTTTCTAGACCACTCTGACCCCAGGGATCCTGGGAGTCCATCAGGATATCCAGCTTAGCTCTGCCTGGGCAAGGGCCATGTCCCATGTGACACCCGGCGGGGTAAGACCAGCTGCTCACCTTGCCTGGGTCGTGGGTCCCCATCTCTCACTTGGGATGGGGTGTCACTCAACACTGGAACCTCTCAGAAGATCATTTGTAGGCCTTCTGCTTCCACTGTCCCAGCCTGGCTCCCCCATCCTTTTCCTTCCTCTGTTGTCCACTGAGAGCCCCATGCAGCCACACGCTTACTTGGGGGAGGGACCCGTAGGGGTGCCCGGGTTGGCACAGCCAGGCTTACCATTCCACATGTGTCCAGATGTGTTCGGCAGCAGTGGCTGTCCCGAATTCCTTGTCCTTGGGTCCTGGACGAACCTCAGCACCTCAGTGGAGATAGGTGAGTTTGGGGACTGCATGCTGGGTGCCATCGGGGAGCCGGGGGATGGGGGGTGTGCGGCTGCAGGAGGCAGATGTGGGTGGCAGGGTTTGTCACCGGGAGGGGCCGGGACTGTGTTTATGGAGACTCATGAGGCATCGGGCTCTGTGCTAAGGGTCTCACGTGCATTATCTCGTTAGCGCTCTCACAGTCCACAGAGACGGCTCTCACAATCCCATTTCACGGATGCAGAAACAGAGGCAGAGAGGCCTGAGGGGCTTGCCCGATGGGGAAGTGCTGGGCTGGCGCCTGCTGCCCCTGAATCCTGAGTCTGCGCTTACAATGCAGGTGGGGCAGGTGTACCTGGGAGCTGGGGGCTTACAACCCAGGCCAGGCAGGTGCCCTGAGAGCCAGGAGCTTATGTCCCAGGTGGGGCAGGTGCTCCCTGGGGAGCTGGGGGCTTATCCCACCCCTGCCCTTCTGGACACCAGCCCTTTCTCTCCAGGTGCCGTAGGGACCACACAGCAGCCTGGGAACATACCTGGCTAGGAGAGGGGTCCCGAGTCTCTGCCCAGAGGAAGGCCTAGCAGGGGGTTCAGGGGTGGGGGTTCCCAGGAGGTAAGGGGCTGGGAGATGGCCAGTGGACAGGGGGTGTTTGTACTCACCCGACATCAAGCCTGCCTCTGCCCGGGCCTGGGCACAGAGCCGGCTCAGGCCCATTTCCTCCCAAGTGCGGAGGGCCAGCACCCAGGCCTGCTGCTCCCCATACTGGGCCACCAGGCGCGAGGCCACCTCCATGCTGCGTGCCTTCCCCAGCTGGGCCCGCAGGGCGTGGGGAGGGTCCCCCCAGAACGGCTGTTCCAACAGCCGAAGCTGGAACTCCTTTAGCTCCTCCTTCCCCATCATCTCCAGGTACCAGGCCAGCCGCCACTGGACTCTGCAGGCCATCTCCACCCTGCTGGGGGCCCTCCACAACGTCCACAGAGGCGAGGCTGGTGGCAGGTGCAGAGGGGTGTCAGGCGGGCAGAGGCCAGCGTGTCTTCCCCCTCTGCCCATCCCCTGACTAGTGCAAGGCTCCCCCTGGGATCATTCCTCTGTGCCTGGTGAACTCCTGTTCAGCGCTCAGAGCCCGTTGTGCAGGTGCGGGGAGCCAAGGAGTGTGGGAGGAGAAGCCCCCAGAAGGAGGAGCCCGGAGGGCCCAGGAGACACAGAAGAGGTATGGTTGGGTGCGCAGGGTGGTGGCCAGGAGAGCAGAGGGGAGCACAGGTGGGGGACCGGGATGTGCCCGACACTTACCCTTCTGTGCTCCTGGGGTCCTTGCCTGAGCCCCGGTGGTACTGAGGAGTGGACTGAGCTCCAGACCGAGCACGACTTGGCCTCTTGGGGCCCCTCTGGGTGGTGGGACACCGACAGGAGATCTGCCTTGGCGCAGGCCCCGGAGCGAGCACCACACACTGAGTCACCCAGAGGAAACTGGGCTGGGTGTGCCAGCCAAGGGGCGGGGCAACCTCCGCAGTGGGGGTATAGGCCCACGGGACACCCAGCGCCCCCCACGAGCTTGTCACCGGAGCTGGAGCTGGTGGCATGGAGCTGGTACCAACCAGCTGGAGCTGGTGGCTACTTGCCCCAGGGCGTGGGCTCTGGGGCAGGTGGACGTCAGCCTGGGGGGGGCGTGGGGGGCATTTAGGATGGGTGGGGCCCCGTGAGCCACCATGTCACCAGGGCAACTCCTGACTGAAAGGCTGTACCCAAGCCCTCCCGGCCCCTGCCCTGTCCCAGGAGCAGCCAGGTGTGCATTCCCAGCCCCTGCCCTCTCCTGGAGGCGCCTGGGTGTGCTTTCCCTGCCCGGGGGGTTGGGGGGCTGCCTGCTGTCCGGGCCCTTGGCTTCCTGCCCGAGAGCAGAAGGGCTCCCCCACTTCCCCATCGCCCCGGAGCCAGGCCTCAGGGGACTCAGGCACAGGCTGTCTTCCTCTTTTGTCCGACTGGCAGGAGTCAGGGAGTGCTGGGGCAGCGACATTCACCCGCCCATCACCTGTTGCATAACTGTTTCTGGAGATGGCTTGATTGCAGGAGGCTGCACAGCGTGTCCTCCGGCAGCCCCTTCCCTCCTCTGAGCCTCGCTTGGCTGCTAGATTGGCGGGATTGAGCCCCTGGGTGGGGGACCCTGAGGTGCTGGACAGTGGAAGGAAAGGTGTGCAGAGGGACACCCATGACACTGACTCTCCAGATCCCGTCCCCAGCACGGCGTCCTGCCACTCCATTCACTTCTGACATGAACTGCTCAAGGTTGGCGCAGCTCAGCCCCCCCGAGACCACCCCACATGCCCACCAAAACGGAAACTCAGAACCCCCAGTATTTAGGGGTTTTGTGGCTCTTCTTCTATTTCATATGTGCAATTGATTCAGATGTTGGCCTTGGGGTTCTGCTTTCTCTGGGCCCCTCTGCCTGGAGATCCTGCCTTGGTGTTTGGGTGAGCAGCATCCCCAACCCTGCAGCTCTGGGGTCTGGGTGGGGGGGCTGCCACCTGCCATGTTGTTAGCACACAGACTGAGATCCTGAGGGCTTTAGGAGCTGGGTCCCTAGATATTCACATTTTAGGGCAAACCCCAAATGTTTACTTTTTGATTAATCACAAGGGGAGCTGCTCGGATCCTGGGTGATAAGGAGACCTCGGGTCTTGCAGGCGAAGGCCATGCAGAGAGAGAGAGGGAGAGAGGGAGAGAGAGAGAGAGAAGCTGATAGAGTAGGACAGGAGCAGAGATGTATGCCCCCCAAGTGCACACAAGCCCAGAGACCTCTGTGGCTGCCTGCTGCCTTGTCCCCTCTCCTCCTGGGTGTCTGAGTTGGGGTGCGAGCCCCCGTGTCAGTGTTGGTGCCCTGAGGCTCTCAGACTTGGGGTGTGCGCGTCCTGGACTAATCCTTTAACGTCAGGCCTGTCGGTGGCTGGGATGGGGCATGGGAAGTAGGGGGCACGCAGAGGCCCAGAGAAGCAAGGGGACCTGCTTGTATCACCCCGTGGGGCAGTGGCTTGGCCAGGGCAGGGGGCCAGCTGTCCGGACACCCTGGTCCAGGCCCTTCCTTCCTCTAGGGCAGTAACTTCCAGGTCAGAGGTCAGATGGGGAAGCACGGGCTTCGCAACCAGGTTGGCTCTGCCCTTTGAGGTTCTGTCATCTTGGCTGAGTCACTTACCTTGCTGGCCTTCAGGTGTCAGCATCTGTACGACGGGTGTAGTAACAACAGCTTGTAGGATATGAGACCGAGCGAGGATGGGTGTGCACAGGGATGCGGCACGCGGAGCTCTTGGAGATTTTGCAGGTGCTTACGGTCCGTGGACCTCTTCACCCCCGTCCCCGTTTGTAAGATTGCACCTGCCGAAATCCCACTCATTTCTTGAGGGCCAATACCGGAGGGGCACCTCTTCCATGAAACCTCTCCTGCTTTGACTTTTTTTTTTAAGATTTTATTTATTTATTCATGAGAGACACAGAGACAGAGAGAGGCAGAGACACAGGCAGAGGGAGAAGCAGGCTCCCTGTGGGGAGCCTGATGTGGGACTTGATCCCAGGACCCCGGGGTCATGCCCTGAGCCCAAAGCAGACACTCAACCATGGAGCCACCCAGGCATACCCATGTGGCTTTAGTTTTAATGGCACCAGTATTGTAGGAGTTTGGTTTCACCAGGATGACTTCGGTCACTACAGAGCCCACCACGTTCTCCAGGACGCTCTGTGACAGACACAGTCAGACAGACACAGCTCTGCACATGTGACTACGTGAGCTGTACACAATGTGTTTGTCGCACACCATGGTCATCTTTGTTACTATATCGTCCTTGAAGGACCCTGCAGCCAGCACCCTGGGGTATGGCTCCTGTCTCCTGGGATAGAAGCCCAGAGGTGGCCCCAGAGGTGACGCAGCTTTATACTGAATAAAAGCCATCAAATTGACCCTGATCCCGTCCAGACCCCGAGGGAGCGCGACTCACCTGGAGCAGGTGCGCTTCCCTCTGCCCATCACTCGCTGCCCCCAGGGGAGGGAGCCTCCCTGTGGGAACCTGGATTCTCTGATGGCTGCTGGGGGGTGGGGGACTGGCTGCCCTGGATGCCCGGCCCAGCCCTAGGGCCCAGCCCTAGGCTCCCAAGCTCCCCACCCTACCAGCTGTGCTCGCTTCCCCGCTGTCACGGTGTGGCGTCCTCCTATATGTCCCCAAACTCTGACATTGTCCCTCACCTGTTTCTTGTCCGTCTGGCAGGCACAATTACCCACTTAAAACACAAACTAGGCCACGTCACATCTCTGCTCAAACCCTTGCGACACTTCCCATTTCTCTTGGAGTGAAAGCCCAAGTCCCTCCAGTGGCTCATGGGGCCCCGTATGATCTGTTCCCTGATGCCTATTGGACTTTCTCTCTTAACTCTGTCCCCTCTGGCCTCTCTGTTCCTTGAACACACGGACAATGCTCTTATCCCAAGGCCTTTGCACTGGCTCTCTTATCCTCTTGAGATGATTTCCATCTCCCTCTTCCCCATGGCAGAGGCTTGTTTTCTCCCATCCTATGGGGCTGTACCCCTCACTCCCCCAGACCCCTGAGCTGCTGTATGTGTCCCCACCTGGCCCCAAAGGTGTGCTTGTTGGCTTCCTGACACCCCCACTTCCTGGGGCCAGTGGGCTGATGCTCCTCGTCCGTCTGTCCTATGGCCACCAGATGGCACCCCAGCACTGTCCATGCCTCAAATCCGAGCCCATCCCGCATCCCACTTCGCTCACTGGGAGGACCCCAAGGCACGCCTCTGAATCTCGGCATTTATTTTTTTCTTTTTTTTTAATAATAAATTTATTTTTATTGGTGTTCAATTTACCAACATACAGAATAACACCCAGTGCTCATCCTGTCAAGTGTCCCCCTCAGTGCCCGTCACCCACTCACCCCCACCCCCCGCCCACCTCCTCTTCCACCACCCCTAGTTTGTTTCCCAGAGTTAGGAGTCTTTATGTTCTGTCTCCCTTTCTGATATTTCCCACACATTTCTTCTCCCTTCCCTTCTATTCCCTTTCACTATTATTTATATTCCCCAAATGAATGAGAACATGTAATGTTTGTCCTTCTCCGATTGAATCTCGGCATTTAGTTCCATTTCTGGTGCTGTCTTTGCTCCTGGCATCAGGGCCTCTTAGGAGCACATTAGACACTTTCAATTTCATTATATTTATTTTTATTTTATTCAAATAATGCTAGTTCCTATGAAAGGCCAACGTGGGCGGATAATCCCCAGGCTGTCCCACCAGGGTCCAGGGCTTTTTATGTTCAAATTAGTCTGACTTGAATCTGCACTGCGGTAACTTCTGGAAATCAGGCCTTCTTAAGGTTGCCCTCTTGGGGGCCCTGGGGGGGGGGTGCTCCGTGGTGAATCGTCTGCCTTGGGCTTAGGTCCTGGGGTTGAGTCCCACATCTGGCTCCCCATAGGGAGCCTGCGTCTTCCTCTGCATCTCTGTCTGCCCCTCCCCCTGCTCGTAGTCTCTCTCTCTTTTTCTCTCTCGAATAAATAAGTAAAATGTTTTTTTAAAAAATTGCTCTCTTGCCGCTCCCTCTGAGAACTGTCAGGTGTGGCCTCCTGGGGGTGGAGACATCTGTCCCTCAGTTTCCCCTCTGACCTCATCCCACTACTGCCTGTTGCTTTCCTGGCCTTGTACTCCATCTGTCTGTGTCGTCTGTCTGTCCGTCTGTACAAGGGGTTGGGCTCCCCTGAAGGGTTGGGGACACGGGACAGTAATGACCCGGGCAGAAGGTTCCCGCGGCTCTTGCGTTGCTCTCTGAGCTCATGGGTCAGGGTCCCCTGGGCGCTCCCTTCCCAGCTGGCCGGCAGGGGCTCTGGCTTGTGTCCTTCTGATGCAGCTTCCCCCCCCCCAAGTCCCCCCAGTCCCCTCATCTCTGTGGGGAGCAGTGTGGCTTCCAGGATCCCCAACCCCCCAGGTCCCCCAGCCCCCTCCCTGTCTCCATGGCACACAATGTGGCTTCTGCTCCCACCTAGGAAGACAGCAGGCTTCCCCCAGGTCCCCCCAGCCCCTGCTCCGCCTGGCATCCACCTCCTCCCTGGGTGGTCAGTGTGGTCCATCCAGTGGACCCAGCGAGGGATCCCAGCCATGTGTCCGAAAGGTTCCCCCTCCCCTCCCCCCGAGTTCGAGTGTTCCAGGCTGGGGGACACTGTGCACCAAACACCCGGAGCTGAAATCTCTCATGAAGAATGTGATCTCGTCCAGGGGTGCCTGAGGGCTCAGGTCGGAGGTTCCAGCCCTGAAGGAAAAAATAAAATATAAAGTCTACAAAACCTTGTCTGTCCAGCCACCTGCCTCCCCCTTCCCGTCCTCCCCCATGTGACCGGAGGGGGCATTGGGGATACGTGCATCCTTCCACTGTCTGCTTTAATCGCTGTGAACTTG